AAGTACTGCAAGACTGAGCAGCGTAGGACCTAGGTGTTGCCATGGGTTTGCCTCCAACTCACAGCCATGACTTCTTTTATTATCATGCATTTTAGGCCCAAAGTTATCCCCCTTTAGATTCACTATTAAAAAATACTCGTGGCTTCAGTAGAAGCCAAATCCTTTTATTTAGGAAAGGATTGTAGCTGCTGAGTTGAGTCAGTTGAATTATGAATGTTACATATGTGAACTGGTGTGTTGTTACATCTTTCTGAATGAATGACAGAGTTTACAGCAAGTTGCTGGTAGTCATCTCCTTTACAATACTTAAATGAATGGTAAGTTTGCAGGGCTGTGTATTTTATCACTCAGACAAAATTCCAGTCAACCTAAGTGGAAGCTTTGCCTGTAAGAGAGGTGTGTGATTGGGTTCTTGACTCTTAACAGTACTGTATTGCTATGAATGTACCGATGCATGGCCCCAAATTTAATCAGCTTATTCCCATAATCAGAGTTTGTTCAGTGCAGTGAACAAGCACAACAAGGATGCCTCCAGGGCCAAAGAATGTGCTATTACTTAATGAGTTGCTTAAAGCCCTTCAAATAAACGTGGAAGAAACACTTAGATGAGGGAAGTTGCCGTAGTCCTCCTCTCCAGCTTTAGGAGTATGAATCTTCCTAGATTTCCTGACTAAATCTGTTGATTAGTCTCTGCTGCTTGAGTAGGTCATGAGCAGAGATGGAGACACTCCTGTAAAGGGAACTGATGGAGTTCTGGCTCCCTTCCATCTTATTGAGCCAAAACAGGGATTTATGAAGACAGCAAACTCCTGTTCATAAAGCACTGCTATGCATGCTGCATTAGGAAGCTCTGGGTTGGAAGACATCCAGTATCTTTTTTGCAAAAGTTGAAAGAATTGTGGTTTAGAGGCTTATGAAGGGGAGGTATTGCAAAAGAAAGAGAACTGGACAGGATTGCTAGAGAATGAAGTAGTTACGGTCACTATTACGGGGAGAGGGGAAAAAACACACTTTAGTCTGTTAAGCGGTATCTACTTTGCTCTTTATTGTTTTCATAAACCGTAATCAGTTTGGTTTTTATCACTTCAGGAGTTTCTTGCCACCACCTTCATCCCTGGCACACTTGGGTCCTCCTTTCCTGGCTGGAGACTTTTGCTTCATCAGTTGTGGTGAATCAACTGCCTGTATATAGCTAAGGAGCTCTGTTAAAAGGAGCAAAAATAACATTACATTTATTTATCCCTGGTTTTTGTTATTTCAAATTAATTACAGGGATGTTTATGAGGCAGGGTTGTTGACCACACAAATATAGGTTGTTCATAATATATGTAGTCTGGGAGAAACTGCAATTGCTGTGCTAAATATAATTTATTCTGTGGTTCCATTCCAGCTATATATTTAATTTTATTTTTCCATTCTTCTTCTAGGGGCACTAGTAAGCATTCTTCCAAGCAGGAGTAGTAATGATGAGACAGTAATTGTCTGAGTAAATTATGCGAGCGGCCTTCTTTCTTTTTTCACTTCCTACGTTTCTGGTGTCCTCTGGCATCAGAACAGAAGTATATGTTACTCCTAGGCTATGTAAATGAAAAGTTCTGTCTACATTACAATTAAAAACATGTCAGGTCACATGGTTTCCACTTGACTGGTTACAGCAGTGCTGTTTTGCAAATAAGGCTTTAACTGTGTTGCAAGTGTGAAGTCCTGAACTGACTGAGACTGTAGTAACTGGGTCACCTGCACAGAGCTTTTTGGGACACAGGTCATGGGAATATTTGCAGAAGCAAAAGTGCTGTAATTGCATAGCTGTACCAGTATTTATGTTGACAAGGAAGTTTAAAGATGCATGTTTAGGAAGCAGAAGCAACACCATGTATATCTAGGATACGTAAAAGGCATATAAATTCTAGTCTTAAAAGATGCAGATACTAAATGACATGGGTTTTTGAAGGAGCGTCGGAATTATTTCAAGTTTACTTCTCAATGGTCTTTTTGCACCCTGAGAGCTGCCTACTCTTGAAGAAAGAGAATTAATAGCAGTAGCATAGCCTCAAAAAGAAATCAGTGTACTACTGGGTGAATCACTGTGAAACAAAAGAATAGTTCCTGGGCTGTAGAGCTGATTGCTAAGTATATGACAGAGTAAACACAATATATACTTGTGAAGTAGAGACACTGTATAACAATATGTAGATTAGTATCACATGTAGTTGCCTAAACATGTAAGAGATTAGATTGACTGTGGTTGCCATGCAACCAAGGAGCTGTGGTCTTTGCAGAAGCAGGATGGCAAATCCCCCAAACCCCTAGCAGTCAAAAAATAGAGTAAGAGAATAGGTGAAGATGGTGAAACATGGTAGCACCAGCAATTAAAATGACAGCATCTGTCAGCAAGCTGATTGCTATCTGGAAAGAAAGCTGGAAAAGAAAGCTTTTCTTGCAGCAAGACCTTCCTCCTGGGACCTACAGTCTGGCTTGGTAAACCAGGTTGGTTTGAAAGACTTGCAGCAGCAAAAGTGTCCGGAAGTGAATCAGGCCTCAATACCAACTTCTGAATTGCAACAGTCTCTCTTCAGATCATTTATAGGTGGGTGTGGACCATAATGAATATTAATTAAATGTAGTAGTTGTACTTTATGCAAGTCTCTGCCCTTGCTGTGTTTGAGTGTCCTAGAATCAGCCAGGTACAGAATTCACTTCTCACTGGACAACGCGCCATCTGTGCCATTGGGAACAGATTTGGTAGCTCACTTATTGAACCAGGAGTGTCGAGTCTCTCAAAAAGTATTACATCTGAATCAGTTTGCTCATGGGTTTTTGCTTTTACAGGATAAAAGAGGGTGGTAACAAAACCTGAAACAGCTTTGTTAATTTTTAAAAAGTAAACTTTTTGAAGTAGACCTAGAGATTTAGCTTTTGTCTGATTTTTTTTTTTTTTTTTTTTTTAAGGAAATGATTATGTAGATTCGTATAAATACTTTACAAATTGGGAACTTTGGTCTCAGTTTATTTTCTGTTTTGCAGATCATTATTTATGCAGGTTTCCTTTTAATAGAAACTTCTGGAAAAGGCAGAGTAGCTATCTTTGGCTACTTTTCTTGGAGATGAGAGCTCAAGACACCACAGAGACTAAAGTGTTTGCTTCATGCATGAAGATCTTTACCCTCTGGTGCTGGAAGAAGCATGAAACCACACAAGTATGACAAGCAGATGTAAGGCGATTTACTGGGAAGGCAATAGTTTGTGTGCCCTTTCAGGAAATCATTGTAGTGACCACGAGGGGGCATTTTATGAAGACACCGCAAACCCAACTGTATTACTCATGATCACTGGGGGAGTGGCATCAAGGCCAAGCTTGTTGTGTCAGGAGTAAGACCAGTAGAACAGTAATCGGGCACTTTATTCCAAATCCACCCCCTCTTCGTTCCTACTCTTCTGATATTGGAACCTGTAATGCTTATCATCTAATCGCTGAGGCTAGTGCAATGGAAAACTTTAGCTAACAGTTACATGTCTCAGCCTTTGTGAAACAGGGTAATTCAACAGGTTGATTTTCAGCCCTCCTGGCTTGGCTTGCAATCCAGGGTCTCACTGGAGACTAATCGGAAGCGGAACTAGGAGACATCAGTGGCTTTACTATATACAATTCATCTTTTCTACATCTGCATGTTAAGGGACCTCTCATTAAGCAGTTATCTCATTTTATATTCAACTTCATATGTGACATTGCCTTTCTAGCCAACTCTAGGCCTTGTTCTAATCCTTCTCGTCACTTCTTTCTTGGGTTAGGCCTTCTTACTCTGGTTCCCTCATTTGCTTTCCAGAAGTAGCTTGTGGTGGAAATTCTCCCTTCCTGTCTGTTTTGTTTCCATTAAACAGGCCATGTATCTCGATCAGTTTCTTCCACTGCATGGGGCAAAGAATCCGTTCAGTTCCTTTCTCTTTCAATATGTCTATTTTGCACCAGATGTCTTAAAGAATAATTATTCTTCGTGGCTTATTGCTCCTTTTAATTTCAAATAAAGTCAGAAGATTGATATGTATATTCTTTACTCACACAGAGGAAAATACTTTTTCCGTGCATCTGAAAATGTTCTGAGTCTCATAGTACTGTACCTTAGGCACAATATTTCAGACTGAGAACCAGAGGATGGTGTTTGGATTTCATCTATTTTCAGCAATATTAAGATTCCTAAGCAGAACTGCTGTTCAGATGAATTAATATTTATCAAATGTATTCTTATATGAGGCTAATCACTACATTGATTACAAAAAGGATGTTGAACTTTCCCCTAAAACCAAAACTGACAAGTCATGCAGCAACTGCTAAATGAACAAGACTATGAAATAGTAAAACCCATCACTGTTCTGTGTAAGAAAACAGGGGGGTTCAATCTTGTAATTAAGAAAGCTCAGACTAAAGATTGTGGCCTTACTACAATGTTGGCCTTTTTAGTAAATCTAAATTATTTTATTGCAGTAGACGAGTAAATTGGATGTATGTGTACACACAAAGTTCAAACAGATAGTGTGGAGATGTAACTGTTCAAGTGGGGTGAAGCAGCGGTGTGTGGATTGTGGGTTACTCACAACTATTGACGGTAAGACTTTGCATGATGAGGTGGCACTGTGACACACAGCCCCAGGCAATTTGTAAAAAGGGCTAATGCAGGTACAGATAAGATGAGTAGCTGGCCAATTTACAAATTGTAGATATGTTTTGCATATGTAGGAGGACTTATGCATAAACTCATCCCAGAAGGTGTTATGTGTTTGTGTTCTACCTGAAGAGTGGTGTCACTTTCTGTGATTCCTGGGTGCAGTCCTTTAACTGTACAAATCAGAGCTACCTGAGTCATTGGGCTAGAGATTTAAAAATTAAGTGTAAGACTTCAAATTAAAAGGAGATACATCTAGCAAGGTCATATTGAAAGAATATGCCTTTTTATCTCTTTATTATTGGCTGCAGATACGGTCTTCTGAGACTCTTGAAGCTCAAGGTGACGTTAAGTAGCCTAAAGTCCTTGTAAGCCCTGAGGAAAAGGGAAGTCTTGTAATAAGAACCTGGACGAGCGATTGTTGTCCTCTGTAGGTGGATCCAGTGCATAATGGCTGACTGGTATGTGCTGGGGTTTTGGGGGGCAGGAGAATTAATACTGTTGCCTTTTTGTTTTCAACGTGTAGTTTTCATGTTATGACTAAGATACTCTAATAGCTTGCTGTTGCCAAAGAAATGATTCCCATCCTTCCTTCTGCCTCCATATTTTTTTGGTGGCAATTCTGTTGCTTCCCATTTTACTAGCAATAGTGATCTGGCTTGGAGAGCTAACCTATTTAAAAAAATCATTTTGGGAAGAAAAAGGTTGATTTCTGCCAATTTAGCTCCTCATGCTCATCCTGAGCTTGTCTCCTCCCTGAGTCCTCTCACTACAGCACTAATGCATCAGATGAATCTTGATTGCAGCATAAGGAAGAAGCTTGCAGTTTGTCCATTGCAGAGGTCACTAGATCAGCTTTACTGTAATACAAGGCTTTTATGTAGTGCAGTGGAAAAAGATAACACTCTTCAAATTTTTTTTTTTTTTTTTTTTGCCTGCCAACTAATGGGAAAGATTTTTCTCTACTAAAATAATGCAGCAACTCCCAAACTGTAGTATGTTTTTGGAGCACTGGGATGAGGAGAAAGGAATGGTAAACACTTAAGAGAGCTGAGGGAGAAGGTGCTTGAGAACTTCTGCTCTGAAAACTAGCTCTGGGAAGGAAGGATTGTGAATAAGAAATTTTAGAGGTATTTATCAATTTCTTGAGCTAAAAATACAGTTTTATGCTACAGTTCCATGAAGCTAGCACTCTGTCAGGGAGCTGGCATCTCTGCCTAAATCTGTCCTCCAGAAACTTGTTCCAGCCTTGGTGCTACTACATTCCTTGCTGCTGGCACAGTCATTTCTGTGATTGTACATGGAACTGGCTCAGTAAAAACTGAACCAGCAGAAAAACAATTTGTTTCCCCCAGGCTTACTTTTAAGCAAGCTCCCATATTACCAAAAGAGTGCTTGCAACAGCATAAGAACACACATGAGTGAGTTGTCTGGAGATAAGGAGAGAAAAAAGGAAGAGACTGCCTTTTTTTGACACTACCATAGTCTAAAGCATTCACGGAACTGTCATTTTATTGTAGTCAGCGCTTTCTTATGAAGAGCAGTTCATCTCCTGAAGAAGTTGCATCATGAGTGAATAAGGTAGAAGTGTGGGAGCAAGGAAGTGTCTTCTCTGATTTCTGATGGGGAAATTGAGACTTGGAGAATTAGATGACTTGCCTAAGAGTAGAAAGGCTGACTTGCTAAGAGCCAAATTCCAGTCTCCTGAATCATTGCCTTGTGCCTTATCCACAAGACCAACCTTTCTCTATTAGCATTTCCTTTCTCTCCACCCTGTTTTGAGAGGAGGCACAGTAGCATTGTTCTGTGGCAAACAAACTCAAAGCACGATGCAGGAACACTTCCAGCAGGCTGGCTTGAACAACCTTTGAGTTTATCATTTATCTGGAAGCCATGACTTTTCTTGGAATGGCTTCAGCATTAGAACCTTCCTCAGGACCAATAACCACAAGTGCTAAAACTATCAAAAGGCCTGACTGTTTAAATAAGAGGCCTTTGAGATTAAAAAACATACTTCAAACAACAGAAGATTTCTTAAGGCATAGAGGAGTGGAAATTACTAATCAGGGGAGCATGTGAGGCTTGAGATAAAGTGGGCAAGAAAACAGGACTTTTAACTGTATTCCATAAGGAGAGAAGTAAATGATTTTACTATTATTATTATTATTTTCACTCCTAGTATGATGTACCTTATTAGGAGAGACATATTCTGAAAGTACCTTAGTGCCTGCTTGGCTGCTTAACCAGGCCAGTGACAAGTGGCTTATCTTTGATCTAAGTCAGATAGCTGGGAACAGGAAATAAAGACTTAACAGTCTGCCTATGCTGCTTCTGTATCACAGCAGGCCTTAGCAGACTTAATTGGGCAATGCCTGTGCTAAGCACCACTGGACCTATCATCCTAGGCTTCTCAAATGTCATCGAGTGGCAAACACTCAGTCCTCTGCTTTAGAAGTTTTGGTGCTGGGTTTTTATTTGTGTGGCTGATTGGTGGGGTTTTTTTCCACCCATTTTACCCTTTTCTTCTCTTGCCCCATGACATTTCCTGCCAGAGCAGGAAGCTTAATTCCTTATGGCAACCTAGGTGTTAACTGTGCTAGTGCAGCAGCCAGTGAAAAGCAGGAGGGAGGAGTTGTCTTTGGACTTGATAAGTGGAGAAAAATGGGATCTTAAAACTCTTGCTTTAACTGGAAGACAGGAAGTGAAGCACTGGATCAAACTGGTCTAAGAATTCTGGTATCTTGCCTCTGGCTATAGCCAAAGTCAGCTGACAAAAATAATAGTGATGCACCTGGCTTTTGTTATGCAATGCTACAGGAGGGGAATTCCGTCCTGCTTTTTGCAAAGACCTGCATATGCCCAAAGTTATGACATGTTCTTACGCTTTGTGTCAGTGGCTGACCAGGTTTCTGTAATTACCATTGCTATACTGCAATTCTGTAGTTCATATCACTCTCACAGGAAAACCCTTGTGCCATAGATCACGGCAGAACAAAACTGCATATGGGGCGTCACAGGAATAGAGGGATCTATCTAATGTTTGCATTATTTTGAGTAAGTTGCTTAAGTTTTTGCCTTTTACTTGGGAAGGGTTCTTGGTTTCTGTAGAACTTTCCCCTCATTCAGGAATGTGAACATATTATAAAATAGCCACGCTGGGCTTAGACTGAAAGATCACTTTGACCCACTATTGTCTTTTTCCCTGGGCATCAACTTATGGCTGGAGAGAGAAAAACTGTCAAGAAAATGTCTCCACTCACACTGTCCTTCCTCTAATAACTTTGTTCACGGACTTCCTGAGCCAGATCTAGTCTCTATGTATTCAGATGATGGGAGCATATACAACATACACAGTGAAACACTTCATATGGTTGGTTGCCCTCTAATTTTATTACAGGTTGTCTTCATTTTAGGGAAAGGGTAGGGATAGAATTAAAGTTTTTGGGATGCTATAAGAAGCGCAACCCAGTCATCTTTTTCTTAAAAATAATATCAAGAAGCAGTTTGTACCATAGACACTGGTGTGTATGTGAGATCTGCCTCAATTTCTAACACGTAGTCTTAAGGATTATCTTTGAGTAGCCTGTTCCTGCAAGCCCTAAGAGTTAGAGTTCAAAAGAGCTGGGGAAAAGTAGTGAATGTTTATTGATGTTTTAGTCATAACATGGTATTTGTATTGCCTGGAATATTGCCCTCAATTTTATATCAGTTTAGACTGTATACCGTACAATAACATTTTCCTTCTGAAGAAATGAGTAGACACTGTTTTGAGCCACAGAGTTTCCCAGGTGCCTCGGTCTGTGTCTATTCAGTAGTGTCATGGCTTACAGAAGTAGGTGGGAACCAGGGATATAAACTGTTTAGGGAAGCACCTAAATTTATTCTTCCTGAAAGGCTACAGTTTACTATCTGAGATTTTTGCAAACCAGCCTGAAGATAAGACAGTAAAAGTGTTCAGTTGCTTCATATGCCTGTACTGACAGCTTGCTTTACATCCAAGACCAAACCTCACATTTACACTCCAGCTTCTGGGAAATAACCTCCCAGGGCTTTTCCAGCTTCAGTAGCCAAGGGGAGTAGCGCTCCTTTCCCTCGTATAACACTGTCCAGATCATTCCTGTGACCTGCTGGGATGCACTCAAATTGGGAGCATTTCTCCAGCTGTTGAACCTTGTGAATGAAGGCTGTCCAAAGCTGTTGTGCCACAGCCAGGTGATCAACTAAACAAGCTGAAGTAGCTTCTAGTATTAGATGTTCATGAGCTAAATGTGTCTAGATGCAGGCACTTAGCGGAGAGAAATCTGGGTTGTGTGTTTTTCTATTTGCTGCTTTGATGCCACTTTTTACCCCAGAGCAGCACAAGCAGTGAATGAGCTTTGAGCACCCTCCATGTTAATGTGTCATCTCGTTGGCATCTTCTAGCCCCACTGCTGAAAATGCAAGAGAAAAGTATCTACCTTCACCTCAACCCCCAGCTACCACCTTGAAAAATGTTTTGTTTGAGGTCTCTTTGTCAGTGCATGCTTTGGGCTTGTGTGCGTAGGTAAAGGCCAAGTTTGATTTAGAATATTAGAACCACTTTCCCACTTTATTTTACATCATCACTCCTGGGGAATCTAACAAATCCCCCAAGACAAAGATCTAGTCCTAATTTGGTGTAGTTTTAGGGCACTGCTGGTTTGTACCTTTCTTAATTTTTTGTGGGAAAGAAAATGAAAAATCATGTTCTTCTGGCAAGAAACTAACCTACAACCATAGAATTGTTTCAGCATAATATCCAAATATAATAATGTAGCTGTTCTTCCCTTTAATCTTCTAGAACTAATGTCACAGATGTTTTGATTATCCTGTGTGCCTCCTAGAATTCTTCTATTCTGATTTCAGTTATAAATTTGATAGGGGTGTATCCTACTGTATGATGAATCGTGAATCTTAAATAAGGACAGTTTTGCTTGGGGGATAGAGGAAGATAATTTCTGTTTACAGGCAGTATGATGTCAGTTGGACAAAATTAAGGTTATAAAGTGAGGTCCTGTTAGGATGGACTACAGAGCAGGCAGAATAAAATAACAAGCACCGGGCAATCTCTTCTGCTTAACTACCTGGGATAGCGTATGGATTTGCAGATTATAGACCAGCATTTTCTGCTGTGGTTCATTTCTATACATCCCAATACCTTTGCTTTAAAAAAGGATAGTGAGAAAAAGAAAAGTAAAAAGAACAAACAGAAATGAACAAAAAACCCACAAACAACACATAAAAAACCCAGTTAGGTACCTTGCTTTAGTGGCCTTTGAGGCCTTGCTTTAGTGGCCTTTGAGGCTTTTCTTGTTATTTTTTCAAGAATACTAATTCATTTAACTGCATTTTCGCCTGTGACAGTGTATTACATTCCCAGAGTAAACATTTAAGGAAAAAAAAAATTAAATCTTGCTGCTAACTAAAGGCAGTCTTGTACCAC